CAGGGGGCTCCACTGAATTTACTGCTCAGGAAAAATATCAGTAACTGCACACATATAATCTTGAAAAGAAACACTTCCTGGTAAAATTACACACCTGACGGCTCTGCGAGTTAATATACAGGGGAGAAAGACATTTTCTTTCTTCAGAAGATTCTTAAACTTGCCTCACACTTTGTATTTGTCCACTGTGTTGTCTTTAATAACTTCAAATATTGCACTTGCAAGCAGAAAGACATTTTTTTTTAGAAAGTAGTGGTGGAGCATCCTGTAAGGACAAAAATCATATTTTGAGCAACCAAAGAGTTCCCTTCTTTGAAAATGATATTGATTTGCAAATAATTGTACTGTCTTTGTAGATGCTGTTGACTTCCAACGTATCGTGCCTTAGAGTTTGTAGATTATTCTGAAGACAGTTTATTTCTGCTGATGTCCTTGTTGTATTGTTTCATTCTGTAGTATGTTAAACAAAACCTGTGTATATGTTATTTTGGTACAGAATGTGCCTGCAAGCTCCTTACTCAGTTACCAAAAACATAACTACTTGGTACCATCAGTAAGAAAGCAAACAATTTGCCTAGAAAAGTTTGTGTGTGGGGGGCATCTTAATCTTGCTAAGGTTTTAATATAATAAGATAATTGAATTCAGTGAATTCTAGTTGCCCCTTTTGATCACTTTATGATAACTATCTAAAACGTTTGTGGACATGAAATTGGAAAAGAAGTGTCCCCAAGAGAAGCTAAAAAATAATTCTATCCTCACCTCCCTTTTAGGAGCAATTAATTTCCATCTCTGCACATTTTTTGAAAAATGTGAATATTACATAAGTGCTGATGGACAGACATTGCTGAGTGGAGGGGCAAGCAACAGACAGCTGAAAGCTGTTACCAGGGAGGTAATTTACAGAGCTGTGCCCGTGCTGACAGATCCTGATAGCCCAGGTGACAGATGCACAGGAACAGAGAGCTTACACTGCAAATAATAAGACTTCACAATCTTCAATTACCCAAGACTACAAAAATGTACTTTTTGGGTTTTGTTACAGTTCACACAAACGATTTAAGAGATTTAAAAGCTGGATTCTTCAGCACTTGGGAACATCAAATAATAGCAAGTTAAGGACTGTCCCTATAGCTGGTTACCTGGTTTAATCAGGGCTAAAAGCAAAATAAGAACAGTAGATACACTCATTGATGAGCTCTATATATTATACACCCATTACCTAAGCCATTCTTTTAATTTTTATTTGTTCCACTTGATAAATTAGACGATTGTCTCCAAGCCATCTTAATACTGATGAATACTTCATTAATACAATGAAGCACACAGAAGGCACTGATAATGCTCAGGATGCAAAGAGTAATTACCAGGGTGGTCTCATAGCTGGCTGCTGCTACTAAGACAAGGATTGAGGTCTTGGAGGCTCTGTGACCTTTGGATCCTGGCTTCTGATAATCACTGGAGTAGATGCATCTCCTATCATTAATTCATACAACACCTTTCCTCCAAACGAGAATCTGAAAATTCTTTATATCCCTCATTTAGGCGATGGTCAATTATGGGTGTCCTATTGAAACACTGTGGATTTGCATTGTGATCTAACCATCTAATTACAAAGATAACACTCTCAGAAGTAGATGGAAGTTCTGAAGTTCTGAAGGGAGGCGAGAGAACTTTGGGTAGGGGTGGCCTTTTAGCAGTGCAGTTTACCAGAGCACAGAGAATATGCAATATATAAACAGGCACCTTATATGAATACACATTACTGACAGTTAAATTTTAACAATGCACGAAAACATATGTACATACTTGTGGTTTAGATATTCAAAAAATAAACACCTGTGTGAAGAACATGTACAACAAAATTAAAATGAGATTGGTCCTTATTATTGACTTTTAAATATGTAGATTAAATGGGAAAAGTTAAGCTTTGCTTTCTTTTTGGACAGACTATCATACTTCCTTAGTGTCTAATACAACATGTGACATAAACGTCTATATACATTTATGAGGCACTTTCCATGGTCGTTTATTTTAACACAATGAGTGGCATATATAAAGTAAATATTTATTATTATGAACTCTTACCTTATGGGAGCTGCCTTATCGGTGTCTTAAACAGAAATGACAAGTTTTTAAACTTGGCACTGGGGACCAGTCGAATCTATGGACAAGCCGCTGTGGAAAAGGGGACCTCAATGCACGCGGAAAGTGTGTTCATGAAAGAAAGAGAAAGAAACAGTGTTTCTTTTACAACATAAAAAACCACATGGGGGATTAACAAATCCCTGGCATGTTAAAGAAAGCACTTGCATTTTTGGGCCCTTTGTTTGCATCTAGGAGTGCTTGTTTACAAAGCGGGCGGGGAGGAGGGGGCCCAGGGTGAGGAGGAGCACAGTGTCAGTAATTAGTGGTGTTTCACTAGAGCTTCTTAGGTGGTCTTTCTGTTTCAAACTAGAATCCTTGTAATCTCCTGTAGCCATCCACTCCACCAGCCCCCGTCTCCAACCTCCCCCCTGCCCCCCTGCCCCCCTTCGGATCGGCTACCTGAATAGATTGTTCCTGTGCCCTTGCCAGTACAAACCTGCTTCTGCGAACAGCAGCGGCACTAAGCATGGAAGGGATCTGCCACACATACCCCGGCAGTACAGACGCTGTTTGTATCGGTTGGGTTTCTGAAGGGAAGCCCCTGGTGCCAGTGGAAACAGCTGGGCATGTCTTTTCCCTTAGCCACGCTCTTCCTCAAAGCTCCGCGGGAGAACCCTTTCCTAGGCTCACCTGATAATTAGTTGTCTATGAATGAGGTACATGTGAAGCATGCTCGGATACCATGATGTTGAGACATTTTCAGATCTGAATTATTGTGTATTAGAAGACTAAAGGACTGAGAATTTCAGAATGCTCGTTAATTTCCTATTCCCGTATCTTTTCAACATGTTTGAATCTGGAAGCAAATGTTGGCCTTTTCCTGGGGAAAAATGCATTGTGGTTCTTGAATCCTGGTTTTCATCTTTTTTTCTTATAAATCTGTTTTCCTCACTTAAGGTTTATATATGTGTTATAATGAAGCAAAATTAATTTAAAACATAATATGACAGGTTGATTTAACTCATTATCTTGAAGTGTACTTGTAAAATATTTTTGTATTTTTTTAATCCTGCCTTTCTCTGAGCATAATCCCTTTAGAAAAAGTACTTTGTGATGGTTTTTACATTCTTCATTGATTGAGATGAATTGTATTTCTGAGCTATACATCTAGCTATGTATTTTCTTTCCTTTCATTTCTGTAGTATATGATTTTCTAGTCATAGAAACAACATCGAAAGCCATCAGTGGAAATAGTTTGACTATTGCACCTGTAGAGACATACACAGTAGTTCTTGTGCAACACACCTTGCTAGTGGGAGAATGTGTTTCCTTAAGAAAAGTAATTTGTAGAACACAGTAATGAAAGGTGACATGATTGCATTAGATTAATTTGAATTACACAGTACTCAATAACACACTAAGGAACAAGATAAGGTTATTTAAGAATCCAGTCAAGCAGTACTAACTTCTGTTCTGGAAGCTGAACTGGCAAGCAGTGGCAATGAGATTGGGTATGACAAACATATGTTGCTTCTTTTTGCAGTGGGTGAAGCTGCAAGATGTTGTTTTTTTTGCAACTTGTGAAATTTTTTGAAAGGCAGGCGTCTCACAAGTGTGATTGTTATTTTATTGCGGTTTATACCGTTCATTTACAACAGGAATTGAAGTGGTGTTTTTCTTTAATATATATGCTAATTATTTCATTAAAAAATAAAACAAGGCCACTAAAAATGCAAAAGTATAAAGTGTCTTTGGGAAAAAAAAAGAACCAAATAAAGGACAGAGCTTCAGCTGTGCAATTAACAAAACTTGAAAGAGACTAAATTCATGGTAAATATGTTCATGTACCAAAAAGTTGGCTCAGGGTTTTTGTGTAAACATAAAACTCTGCAAATAAAATTTTATGGAGCCAAAGCGATCCCAGGAAAATATTATTCTTTAAGTGCAGTAAACAGCCATTGGAATAAGGAGATATGTGTGTGGTAAAAGTTTGTACAGCGATACAGCTGAAATCTGTGTAATAATTCTCAGGTTGAGTAGTTATGTACATATTCTTAACCTTAAAGGTTTGAGCTTTGTTTTTTAAGTAATGGTTGCAATGTGTTTGAACTGAAAAAGACCTGGTATCTTTGTGTATCACAGAACTGAAGGAGAAAATATTTATGAGCTGAAGTTCTACAAATGCCTGACTGTAAACCTGACTTGGAATACTGAAAAATAATTGCTTCAGCAGTATTAAGTTGGCCTTGGATTTTAATAACCTTGTATGACTTTAGTTGAGAATCAGGGCAGTTTCCTTACTGTGCCCATAATTAAAAACTATAAAAATGTAAAAACTACCCCTGGCAAAAAATCTAAATAAAAAAAAAATATTTAATATAATGCAGCAAAGGAGCAATGGAAAATGTCAGCTTAATAGCTGATTGTTTTCAGAGGTGGTTGATGTGTGATGCAGTGTATCTAATATTTTGTTTTGTCTTCTGCAGATGCAGCATTCAGGGGAGTGTGATCTGCAGTAATGCTGTAATAGGCAGAGGTGCTGATATCAAGTACTGTTTAATAGGAAGTGGACAACGCATTGATCCAGAGGGTGAGTTCTGCTTCTGTAATACATGGTACTGAATACAGTGCTGTAACACTGAAGTGCTGGATTCACTACATGTGTGGTGATGGCATTTTAGATATTTCAGAATATTTTTGAACAATCTAGGTTTGTCCATTTGTTCAATAAAAACATTTTGGATATATTGAAGCCTGTTTGATACCGAGTAAGTAAGTTGCTACTGTACTCTAATCAGAATGAAATACAGACATATTTAAATAGTTCAGCATCAGGTAGACCTGGGACCTTAATCAGGCAATGTTACACAAGAAAAGGAAAGGTACCCTTGTGACGTTTCTAACATGAGTTCTGAATAACAGCACAGGGTCAAAAATAACAGCAGCTTAATTTAAGGCTTTCATTTCTTTCCCATCACCAACAACACTGAAATTGCCAGTGTTGCGCAGCTGTTGTTGGGAGTCTGTAAACGTAACCTCAGTCTTATCAGAGTCGTATCTGTATTTAATTTACTTTAATGATTTACTTTGATTTATTATTTCCAGCATTTCACTGAAAACAGGGTCTGTTATGGTGAACAAGATGATCAAGAGGCATCATGTTGGCTATGTGCTAAGTAGTAAATATCCAAACAGTGAACACAGTTACATCCCCTGAGTATATGGGACATCATCAAATGTGAGACGTGTAAGATTTTAAAACATGTCTCTTATCAGTAATTAGAAACCCAGAAATGTCACTGATTTGATCACGTTCAAAGATAGAGTTGGTACTAATGATAGCATGCAGTGCACATTTTAATTCCGTATCGTTAGTTCATGTATGATATGAAAGAGCGGCACAAAATACATGAGTCCAAAAAAAATGCATCCTTCATTCGGAAAGCATTTTTAAAAATTTGACATAAAAGCATTCTCGCAATTTAAAAAAAATAATCTTCCAAGCACGAATACCTAGGGGGTCTGTCAACAAAATAACTAGAATAGTTGTGCACAGAAAAACAATTGTGTGGAAATGTCCTGTCTTTAAACTATCTGGATGTACATTTGCTTCTATATAATTACCTGCAATAGACATTTGTCTTCATTAAATCTTACCTCAGTGAGCTTCCCCATGTGTGTATGTTTAACTCCTCATTTGAAACCGGCACCACAGTGCCCCCATCATGCAGTGACACATGGATGTACTGCCAACCACTGCTTTTGATTCTGCTTTAATAGCTTATTAAAAATGAAGTTCTTGTCTATAATTGAGTCTGTGTAAACTTTTTTTTTTATTCTACCAGGGGGGTTGTGCAGGGAGGGGGTTGTGTATCTGTGTGTGGGGAGGTTGTTGAATTCATGGTGGTCCTGGCCTGAGCGCTAACCTCTCTATCACCAGCACTGCCAGAGGCTCTACTAAGCTGTCCAGGGGCAGCTCTGCTTAATTGACTGAACAACAGGGTGTTGCTTCACTGTGGGTGCACTTATAAACTGCAACATCCCTTTTCTGTTGAGTGTTGCTGGTTACCCTGGTGAAGCTGGATCTCATTAGCTAGGCATAACCTTGGAGGCAATGGATAATTGAATGGCTTTCGGAAAATCCCAAATTACAAGCCTTGCTTCTTTACTCCCAAATCCAGCTTTTATATCACAGTAAAAGCCTGGAAAGACAAAGTTGCATGGATTGGTATCCCAGCACAAACCAACACAAAGCTTGTGTATTTCTAAAATTCTTAATTGACAAGAATCTCAAGGAGTAAAGTATAATAAATTAATACTGGAACTGCAGTTAAAGCTAAGGTCAAATTCTGATCAGGGACTCATCTGGCCACATACAAGTTGTTAATGGAAACCGATGTGGTCAAATAATGTTAACGTGATTAATGAACAGTCTTTCATTTTTCATTTTTTGCTGTTCATTTTTCGATCTTTTATTTCTCATTTTGTATCGCAATAAAACGTTGTCTATTCAGTTCTTAATCCTCTGTATGACCGTGTTGGGGGAAAAAAAAATCTTCCTGACATAAGTGAAGGCTGATGTTAGAAATTTAAGATATTTTGTCAGCAGATCTGTATATTAAAAAAACTGTATCCGTATAGGTTTGCCACTCAAATAAACGGCACTAACAGTGGCTAATGTTAACTTTTAATGTTTTTGTATGAGATGCTTGGATCAGAATGTTTATAGAAGACCACCCTGTGAGGGAAGGAAAACTTTAAAGACAGGTGGTCTTAATCTGCAGGTGCCGCTACATGAAGTCAAGTGCGTTGTGAACCATTGAGAAGCACTCTCTGGGTGCTGGAGTTGTGCAGGGATGCTCTGTTCTCCTGGTGTTTTATGCTCTATATATTTTTGTTAAAACAAAAAACATCCTTTGTTTAGATTCCTTTTCACTAAAATCTTTTTTATATGAATAAAAGCCCCCCCCCACCACCACGTCCATTCCCTAGATTTGATGGCCTGTAAGGATTTCAGCCTGCGTCAGTACAGCAAAGCTTCATGTAGCAAACGGGCACTTTATTGCATTACAGAGGTGTACTGAGTGGCACAGCATGATCAAATTAGCAGTCTGACAGCCCTATTTTGTGCAGTTCTTGTTTGTCATCAAAATCAAAGCAAATAAATGGGTATCTTCCAGAACTCTACAATCCCAAAAAGTCAGTCCCATTTTTCAGAACCTCTAAGCAGCTTGACATTTTGTATTGTACCATGAGCCGAAAAGGAAAAGCAATATCATTTCTTATTGCATTATAATGTCAGCCCACAGATCTTGCGTAATTTTCCTCTGGTAGTGTTTTATACAGTTCAAAGGCAATATGCATTAGCTGCAGTATGTATCTAAAACAGACTCAGACAGGGTGGTGGAAGTCACTTGGTCTATTTGCTTTCACTCCCACTCACTCTGGGAAGTCAGATATTGCAGGATGTCAAAACTAATTATAACCCATTGGGAGAGCCTCAAAAGAGATAGGGAATGTGAATGTTGACTGTTTCAAAGTACTGCTGTCTTTGTCTCTTTAGACTTAATTAATTGGTTTTAATAACCAGTTACATCTTTCAAAAGCACAATAAAATAACTTTTGTCACTATAGTGTCTTTAAGGGAGGGTTCACATTCTAACAACAGCTATAATTTTGTATAATTTATATACTTTGAGATACTTTGCATCATACAGATCCCCTTGGGTTCTTGATTTGAGGAAACTGTAAAATCTCTTGACGCAAGTCAGGAGTCACTTTTACGTTAAGTAATAATCTGCCTTGTTGAAAAATAGAAATGCTATGTAATCTGATGTTGGAATCCTGCCAGGAAAAGCAGTGCCAAACTTCTGTAGAACTGCATGTGTTATTTTTATTGCTTTCTTTATTAACAGGTAAATAGTGTGACCGAAAAAAACAATTAAGGATTTGCAGTTTTACATTTTCTTAAACTCCATTCAAGTTGTGATGACAGGCTATAATAATTTTTAATTTTTTTTTTCTTTCTGTGGGAAATAAAATGCAGAAACAAGGCTGTTAATGTCAAGAGTCTATCTGGGAATGAAATTGTATGTGAATATGCCTCTTAAAAGATATATTGGATTGACATTGTAGTGCCGCTTTGAGGCCTGTTAAAATGTATTATGGAATTGTGGAATAAGTTCGTTCTTTTACTCTGTTCCAGCTCTTCAAAATCCCGCAAAACCTCAGTTCTTCACTTCTCTTTATACCGTAAATTTAGAAAAAGAACATGTGGCTTTTTTTGCATCTGACTGAGAGTCCAGGATGAGGCTGATCTGACACCCAGCTTTCCTGGGTTAAATTAAAATCTTATAAAATGTTGTCGCAAACCATAGTTCACTTGAAACTTTCTTCGCATATGGAAGCCCACACTTGCCAGATCATTCTGAGCTGCACTGCCTTCAGGTGGCACATTAATTTTGTTGCTCTTTTCTTCCAGCTGAAAGAAGCAATGAAGTTATAGTGGGAAATGACCAACTCATGGAGATCTAATGACACTAGAAGCCCCGCTCCGCAGATCCAAAAACTTCAAAGCTGGCAATTCATCTGGAGCTTAATGCACTAGTTAACAACTCTGCGCTCTGAAGTTGTATTTTATCTGCAGTCTTTTTTATACACATTGTGAAGGAGGCCAATAAAATTGAAAAATTATTTATCTCAGTCCTCGTGATTCTTCTGCACAATTTGCCTGAGATATTTTACCGTGTTACTCAGAATTCTTTATTCCATCTTTGCTTGCATAGCTAAATAGCGAAGTATGCTTTATTTCGCAAACACGCTGAGAAGGCAGTTAACTTGAAAGTGCTGTTTTTTTTTTTGCTTTGTGACCTGTGTAGCTGAGCTGCTTCCTCAAGTCCTCCTGTGTGGCGTCGGTCTCTCAGCCTTGTGGAGTTTGTTGCTGAGAGGAGCGGGTGGCTACAATGGGGTTAATTTTATTTATTCTTCTAAGTATACAAAACGAAGACCACCCAGCATGATTGCAACAAGAAACAGCAATCCCTCCCACTTTCAGAAAATGCAGGAGAGAGGAGTCACTTTAACTTTTTTTTTAAGATTTATGACTTTCCTGCCCCAGTGCAACTCTTAAATTACAGGTTTGAAGTTCCATAGTCACGAATAGGGCCAGACTGATCAAGATGCTATGCTCACATGATTGTTTCATTTAGAAAGTCTACATACATTGTTACTGTGCTAAATTGTATGGTTTTCATGTCATTAGTGAGATAATTATGAATATTTTTTGTTCTTTATCCTTTGGTTGTTTTGTTTTTTTTTCATTAACTGCATCTTGAAAGAATTACATGTGCTGTTCTTCTTTTCATGCAGAATTTTTAATCAAGTCTTTCATTCCTTGCCTGGAATTTATTATTTTAGCCCTAGAGCTCATACAAAGCTCATACTTTAAAAATATCTTTAATATTATTAATACCATTGACTAAGGATTGAGCTATATACGTTGACTTGCATCTTTTGCATCTTTAGGGATGCTCATATGATACAGTCTTTACTGTCCAGTGTTGGACACTGCATTTACTACTCTTGCTAAGATTGTAAAAGTGAAACCATCTATCCTTCCTGGGTTTAATAAATTTAAACCCACTACAGCTAATATTTTTTTGTGTTCCATCTCGCCAAAAATGTTGTGTTTGTGCATTCTCTCATGCTGGTAACCTGAGAATCTTTCCCTATTTCAAAAATGTCAAATAGTGGAATAAAATTGCCAGTCCCATCTTGAAATAAAGCATTTGTGACTCCTGAAGAGAACAGAATGTAAGAACGGTTACAATTAAAAGAAATGCGCTTGACCCATCAAATTCATTTAGTAGTCAGTAGCCAATTTTATCCAAGGATCTCATTAAACTGTTTCTTGAAAGAAAGCTGCGTAGCTTGTTCCATACACCCACAAGTCTTTGGGTAAAGAAGTGCCTCCTGTTTTCAATTTTAAATGATTTTCCATATAGTTTCCATTTGTGTCCTCTGTTTCATGTCTGTGAAGCATTCAATATATTGTACATCCAGTCATTGCTTGAATTGAGTCCCAGGTGTGCTATTTGATTTAAGAAATACAACAAGACTACAGTACAAAAATCTCAATGCAAAATGTGCTCGTGTATTCTGGGTAAAATTCACTGAGTCATTTTCACATCGTTACATTTTTTTACCAAATGCGTTCAACCGGAATGACGAGAGATTTTTTTCTAAGAAAGCGTTTTTAATTTACTCATCTTATTTCAAGGAAGACACTATGTGTTTAAAGTGTCCTGCTGGGAAAAAAAGATCTGCTGTTTGCTACTGCTTTTTGTCACTTTGCAAAGTATTTTGTGAACACAGCATAATTAATGTGCCTTTTAGACCGCTGAAAAAATGATCATGTGTTCTGCATTATTTACCAATCAATAATTTTCTAAAAAGCCTTGCTTTGCATAGAACCACACAACTGATATTCATTCACTCTTTTATTTTTACTGCCATTTCTGTGGTGGTTTTCATCTTGGTTTCCAGTGTTATTTTACAGTATGCATTTGGGAACTAGATATTTGATTGACCATTTATTGCACATTGACCACTGTCTATTTTCCATTGCATTTCAACCTACTCATCTTATACTAAGTTAATTATCAACCATCTTGAAAGATGGTTAATTCATATGTACACATGCACACTTGCATTATTTTGTTAAATTGTTCTTTTATTGCATGCTGGAAAATGTCATCAACCACCCTATCCAGCAGCATGTGACATATGCTTCCATGTTCTTCATTTGTGGATCGTATGTCATCTGCCTGCTCATATGTCAGCACAGACTGTTTCTGAATTTGTGTATTTAAGGGACTATATATAAGAAAAATGTATGTTTCAATACATAGGGTAAATAGAAAACAGCTAAGAATAACAATATGGCATACCATTACTCAGTAATGAAACAAATAATGCTTTGCCTTTCAACCTTATGTCATGTTCTCTCAACAGTATGCATCCACACACACAAATGCAATAACTACAGAAATATTTTTTAACCTAAAACTAATCCCCAGACATTTAGGAATTCACTTTTCCGTGAATGAGACATGCTACATGGAACAAGGACCAATGAAATAATTATATATGTGCAGCCTTCTGGGGAGTAGTGTCTTTAACGAGTTGATTATGGATGTGTTAAATTACAGTACAGATTCATTAACAAAATAGCCTTTTTTGTAATGTTTCACATTTCCAGAAAAGTATAGTATAATTTGTAGTTAAATGTACACTGCATGCAACACTGTTCTTGATATCTTAGTATTGTCATTTGCAAAGTACTTCTATAACATTATATTTAATAGTTGCGGAATATAGAAAGAGTCTTTGCCCACTGCACATGAAAACACAGTCTTGTTAGCTGGTTACGGTAATATACATGAAAAACTTGCAATTACTCTAAGTGCGGAGTTATTTTCCAAGTGTTTAGTAATGCAAGGCCATGGAGAATGGATAGAAATAAGTTGCTGAGTATAATCGAAATGAGTTTCTGAAAAGGCCATTAAAAGGAGAGGACTCTGCTTTGCCCATATGGTGATGGTCAGCACAGCCAAATGACAGCCTGACAAAGTTTCTGCCAGAGGAGCACAAGAGATTGCCCCCATGTATTGATGGGGGGCAGGGGGGTGTGCAGGGTGGGGCGCGTATCTGGGAGGCCACCCAAGTAGAGAAGAACCTGCATGTTTGCTGCTGACCTTTACACATTAACAGAACATTTCCTCAATTTGCCTCCTGTGTTCTTGAAGCACAAACTAATTTCCTCTCTTTCACACTGGCTTTTTTTTTAAAGGCATAGCCCCCACTACCTCATTTTTTTTTTCTTTCTCCAAAGACCTTATTTAAGCCCGCTTTTCAGCAGAATGAGAACTTGCTAACCGCAGCTCCACAAAGCCTGTGGAGGGCGAGTGGGCTGTTCGTGTCTGTGATAACTTCCAGAAGATTAAAAAACGCTGGCTAGGATTCACCTTCCTATGCCACTCTGCACTGATATAGCAGTTGATGCGCCTAACTATGGCGCATTAATAACTAATAACTATTGTCATGGCCGTTTGTCACATCTTCTCTTCACATTAGTACAATTTTCAATGATAGATAGTATTGTTCCTTGGAGTTTTTGATACTTCTCTTAAACAACATGCTTTTAACAAATGAGTTGACAATCAAATGAAAGCAGCTCTAAAGCAGAGACTGTACTGCCTAGAATCCAGCAGTCCCTCACTCTACAAGCAACTGCTACAGTATATGGGTGTTTGTTTATACGCAATATAGCAGTTCCTACATGTTGTTTTTTTCATTTATCAAGCAGATTTTCACTCTTACGAGCCGGGCTCTTGTAAAGCATTGCCCAGTTTCTTCTTTTCTCACATCTTCCAGGATAAGGAATTTTCTTATTATTTTTTATTGCATTTTAACTTTTTTTTTTATAATGAAGGCTTGTGTGTTAAGAGCATATAGTACAGGATAGTACCTAAAGTTTATGCATTTGCTAATGACTATAAGCATGTTACTCTAATAAATAGGAGTGTTACTGTTTCTATGCTTTGGGTACTGATTGGTGCTGCATTAACACAGGAAGTAATGGGAACTTAATTTCTATTTTACGAGTTTTGGTCATTTTCAGCAGTGTTTCAAGGAACAAATTACGGTTATATAATGAGGCATTACTGTGATGCATAAATGATCAATAAAGTGATTGAAAATAATACTTGAAATTCTAAAACTAAAGGAAAGGTATTGATTTTCTGGATTTCCAAATTTTTAATACCTGTCAAAACAAGACAATAGTTTTGTTAGCTGGTTATAATAATATACATTATAGCTGCGGTTACTACAAGTTTTAATAGAAGTAATATTTTTTCTTCATTGCAGATTTTCCTATGTGTAACCGAAAGCAAAATATACATGAACACATTTTATTTTTTTAATGTTTTAGTTTATAAATAACATAAGAAAATAAGGCAAAATAAAAACAAGGCAAGTTGCTGTTTTTTAGAAATTTACTTTTTTTTTCCCCCACTTACGGTTGGTTTCATTTCATGACGTGAAATGTTCAGTCATTTTTACATTTGATTGTCCCTATATTTGGTTCAGTCTTCAAAAATAAATGCATACGGGGTCAGATTTTTTTTCAGATGTTTCTTATGATCATGCAAGACGTATCACAGATTGGAGAAGAGGTTTTCCCTTAGTATATTTCCCTTAGTATGTCTCTATGGCAAAGTCTAATTCTATCATGGAGAGAAATGTTTTTGCCTGGATTGGTTTGTCCAGCATCTGTGCCCAGCTATAGTCATCTACCCAAAAAATCCTAGGACTGTTTGACTCTCCACAGTTTAGACCAAATGGATGACCATCTCAGTCTTGGCTGTTCATCGCACAGTCTCTTGGCAGACAAGTGGCAACAGGTGTGGGCATTATCATTACCCACATGACAGCCATAAGCACACTTGACCTGCGTCCAGGTGCTGCTGACCTGCAAGTCATCGGGTCTGGAAGGCTCTGGTGGGAGACATGCATGCTGTATTTCCCACTTTTTTGTCATGTGCTGAAAAAAGAAAACATTGGCTAAGTATTATTGTAAGCTATGAGAACGTGAAACATGCCAAAGTGACTTCGCAGGCGATCGTGGGCAA